TTTTTTTTTAATATGTTTTGTAGGCAAAAATCTTAAATTATAAAGTAACTACAGCTGTCAAACTATTGTAGAGTAGAGTAAAAATTACAATATATATTCATCTGAACTGTAGTGGAGTAGAACTATAAATTGGCAAGTAAAGTACACAAACCTTGAATTTGTACTTTTTCAGTACTTGAGTAAACTTTAAGTTAGTTACATTCCAGCACTGTTCTTGTGTCTGTCTGCAGGTGAAAGTGTGGGAAATCCCTCCTCATGGTGTGCTGAAGAACCTTACAGTACCGTGGAAGGATCTTCAGGGTCACAGCCGCAGAGTGGGCCTCATCGAGTGGCACCCGACTGCTAACAACATCCTCTTCAGTACAGCCTATGACTACCAGGTAACGCAAACACAAACACACACACACACACACACACACACACACACACTAACCCTAACACAGCCACACGAAAAAGTACATGCTTACAAAGAAATGTGGAGGACTTAGGGCCTCGAGGGGTGGCAGCTGCCATGACTAAAAAATGCCTGGCCACCTCAGTTTGCTGTAAAATATAAGACATTAATTTTAATCAATTTTAAATAGTAATGTAGGTTAAAGTTTAATGTAAATAAGATGTATTCATTTCTAATGCCACCTTTTTTTTAATTTCTATTCAATGATTTACTAATGGGCCACAATAACGTACTCTTTTTGTGTTTAAATGTCTTCATTTTGGGTTTTTTCCAAACAAATATTAATGAATGTGATTGTTTGCGATTAAAAAAAATTTGATCTGCCGCTGACAATTACAATGTAGCCAAACAGGGCACAGCTGTTTGCAGCCGAGTTCTTGTTAACAACTCATCCCACTGATTGTTGCTAAGTCCTAACTATAAATAAATACCAAGTTAAATTTATGTCATTAATATCCAGTCTCAACTCGTCAGCATGCTTCAAATTGTTTCTAATTTTACGAAACAACAATCCAACTTTGCGACCACTTCATGGAGTGAAACAAGCAGGATTTAAAGTGTGAACAAGAAGAACAAGAAGAACAAGAACAACACCATGAACAGCTTTGAGGAAAGATTGTCAGAAAGTGTCGGCCATTATCCATGTTTGTCCGATACATTGCATCTACCGCATATATCAACACCCTGCCCTAAAGGCTGTTCCCACATTTAAAGGCAGGGTGAAATGTGGGAACAGCCTTTAGACGTCACTTCATACGAGCCAGTTTGCTTCAAGCATACCCTGCTTTTAATATAGAGAAACCGAGTGAGTGAGTCTCTTACATCTAATTAAAAAAAAATTAAGACTTTTTAGTGGAATATCAGATTTAGCTTGATAAAACGCTATCAGTCTGAAAACTTCGATAAGACAATTTCCTATGAATTAATAAATCACAGGTTAACATACATTTATAGTTACAAATGACCTGCTTTTACCTTGATATCAATAGAAACTGTTAAAGCTGTGACTTGAGCTCTTTATTTAACCCTGCAGGTGATGATCTGGAACCTGGACTGTCCGGAGCAGGTGATAAAGAACCCTGTGCGGACAATCACCCACCACACAGACGTCGTCCTTTCCATGTCTTTCAACACAGACGGCAGCCTCCTCGCCACCACCTGCAAGGACAGGAAGGTCCGACTCATGGAGCCACGCTCAGGAAACCTACTGCGGGTAATGCTTCGTGTGTGTGTGTGTGTGTGTGTGTGTGTCTTTATCTGTTTTCACATATATACTGTGTACCTAAACTATTGTTTTTTTTTTTCATTTGGTTTTAGGAGCTTTGTTGCATGATCAGCAGCTCATTTGCATTTTCTTTTTCTTTCCAAATTACATTTTCTTGTTGGAAGCATGTTTAAGGTGCACTCTTAGCAAAATAACATAATTTACTTTACACTAAAATGAACAATTAAACTTTTTGGGGGCTGATATACCAACTTTTGGAAACACGTGGACATAAAATCAGTTAAACTAATAAGTTCTTTTTGAAAAATGCAAAAAAAAAGCCTTTGTAGTTGTAGTATCCCAGCTAATATTGCATAAGTGGGAGTTCCATTGCTCCTTTTCCCCGTCGTAGCCCAGACCCTCATCCAGCACCACACAGCCAAAACTGACACCTCTGGCCTGAGCAGACTCACAGCATAACTTCACAGACCTCTGGGTCACCAGCCAGTGACTCTCACACTTTTTACATAAGTCTGCTCTCACTACCTTCCCCTGCCTCACGTTACATATAAGGAACATTACATCACTATAATGTGTACTGTTCAGCTGTTATTACCAGCAAATTAGTGCTTTTTATATTACTTCCTCTTATGCTGTGCATGCCTGATGCTTTGTTTGATGTATGTTATGTTGTGTGTTTGCAGGAAGCCAACTGCAAGACGCACAAAGCCAGCAAGGTGCTGGTCCTGGGTAACCTGAAGATGCTCTTCACAACAGGCACTTCACGTTGGAATGATCGACAGATTGCTCTGTGGGATCAGGTGAGAGCTACCGCTGAACAGCAGACAGCATTGTGACAAAATAACCTCAAAAGGTCCACTTACTGTGTTTTTCTGTGCTTTCATCCACATTTCATGGTCTTAATCAGCAAATGGAGCTGGATCAGGTGTCGGTATGTGGAAGTTCAGTCATGTGACGCTTCATACACTGACTTGTTATCAGGTGACTGAAGTGTGACACTTTAAGTCAGGTGATGACACCTGAAGCAGCTCCATTCATTGATGAAGACCATGAGAGTGCTCTGAAAAAGCTAGAAAATGGACCTTTGAGTAACCCGTGCTGTTCCCATGATGAAGTATTGTATTGTAGGTGCTCAATGTTATTTATTTATTATATTTATATATGTTTCGCTGTTGTGAGACAATAAACAAACATTGATACTCCATGCCTTATTGTGCTATCAAAATATTGTAAAAAAATCATCATTTGCAGTCAATGCAGGTTGTATTTACATTAATTAGTTACTGAATATTTCCTCTCTTCTTGATTTAACTGAAAAAGTTTCATATTGCTCTCAAAGAAACTTTTTGCTGCAACAAAGAAATAGAAAAAAAATGCCTGTTATAATTACTACAGCTGAAGGCGATGTGTTCAAATAGCTTGTTTTCATTCGGTCAACAATCCAAAACCCAACATGTTTACTGTCAGATATCACAACAAAGAGCAGCAAATCCTCAGTTGAGGAGTGAGTGTTTGGTATTTTTCTTGAAAAATGTTTAAATGATTAATCGATCAATGCGTGAATAAACAAGGTTAAAGATTTGGCACTGTGGCAGAAACAGAGAACATCTGTATTCTGAACTGATTCTGGGCAGCTCAACCTAAAATTCCAGTCTTCTTTAGTCTGGATGTTGCGACAACCAGTACATTGTGTCTGAAAGACTCTGAAGTTAGATTGAGGAATATTTCTCAGCTATAAATACTTAACTAGAGAAGGTTGTTGGGATAAGTTTAACAACAACAAATAGTTATATACAGAGATGATCGTCAACAACAACAAAATAATAAGAGTAAAGGCCCATTAATGAGCACATTGTCAGTACTAGGGAATTAACAATAACACAAATGAAGTAATGGGCAGCATATTGCATCACCAGCGGAGAGGTCATGAGTCTCGTGGCCCTGTTTCTGGGCTTACATCATTAAAGCCTCAAAGCATTAGAGAGTCAGAATAAAAAACAGAAAGAATCAAAGTCAATATTAAAAATACAGAAGGGAAATATTAAGAGGAAAATGGTGAGAAAGCGAGGAAAGGTGAATAAACTATGGACAACAATGTTCAACAACTCTTTGGTTAATCTGTTCCTGCTCCAAATGGCCTCACGTGTCAATTAAAAAACTTGAACTGTAGAAAAACAAAATAAAAACACACAAAAGCTCTCCCCATCCTTATGTGTGATCTTATGACTAATGACTGCTCACACAGTGTGGGGATCCTCTCTCACACACACAACTCCGCCATCTAGTGGACAGATTGGTGGACACGTTAAACCACACGGCAGTAATACCTGAAGAATTCACTGTCACTGTCTGTGTTAAAGTAGAGCCAGATATATTCTCTTCTTGATTATGTCGTTGATGAGTACTCTGATCAGTCACACCTGTTGGCCTGTAATAACAGTCACTGTGGCAGACTAGTGTGTTTCTGACGTGTGAGAGTGTATCGTGGATGGGAGATTATGGCTGAAACACGGATTAGGGATTGAGCGCTCCAATGTTTTTAATTCAGCGCTGGAGAGTGCTTCTTATGTAGAAGTGGATTTAAATGAGTGTTTTTGATATCTGGGGTTTTTGTACATGTTACTGGTGCTCAAGTGTTGTTTTTGATCTTTTGTGTGTGTGTGTGTGTG